ATATAAAGGGAAAAGGCTTTTAGTGGGAATTTGTTACAGCCAATTAAATGATACTGATAAAAGTAGTGAGAAACATTACAATAAGATTAAGATTTCAGCTGTTAATGAAGTCATAATTATGGGTGATTTTAATTTCAAGTATGTAGATTGGGAAATTCTAGAGTCAAACTATGAGGGAGAAGGGTTTTTGGAAACTGTTCAAGATGGCTTTCTTTACCAATTAGTCAAAGAACCTACTAGAAACAATGCTATTTTAGATTTTATGTTAACTTCAAATACAGAAATGATTGAAAGGGTGGAAATTGGGAAACATCTGGGTGCAAATGATCATTGCTCTATTAGGTTCAATGTTTTGTTGCATATGGAGATAAATAATAAGGATATTTTGGTTACAAATTTCAAAAAACAAATTTTGAAGGGATGCAACAAGAATTATCTATTGTGAATTGGGCAGTTGAATTATTTGGAGACACTGACCAGATGTGGAAAATTTTTAAAGATAAATTGTTACATATTCAAGGTAAACATACTACTTACAGAAAGAAAAGGGTAGTTTCAAGTAAAAAAACCAGGTTGGCTTACAAAGAGTTTAAGAGATAAAATTAAAGAAAAACATCATAAATTTAAGGAATTTATATTTACTGATATGACAGGAGAATTAGAAGATTCAAGAAAGTTGGTGAAACAGGAAATTAGAACATCAAAAAGGATGTATGAGAAAAAGTTGGCTGAAAATGTTAAAATTAACAGTAAATTTCTTTAAATACATTAAGGGTAAACAAAATGTTAAGATGGGGGTACGACCCTTGAGGGATGATAAAGGAAGGTTCGTATCTGATGATTATGAGATGGCTGGGATATTAAAATTTTGCTTTTTACTAATGAAGATTAAACAGTATTCCACATCTTGATCAGTTGATAAATGGAAAACGAGATCGAACAAGATGACTGCATTAATTCTGAGCTGGTTAAGAAAAAATTGGGATGTTTAAAGAACGATAAGGCATATGGGCCAAATAATATTACCCCAACAGTTTTGAAGAAGGTTAAAGATTGGATATGTGAGCCACTTACTACTATTTTTTTTTGTCAGTCCTTGAATAGTGGGCAGGTACCAGAGGATTGGAAATTAGCTAATGTAACTCCTCTTTTCAAGGGAGGTGATAAACATTGTCCCAGTAATTACAGACCCATCAGTTGTGGGAAAGGTTTTGGAAAGTCCGATAAAAGATACTTTGCAAAGTCATTTAACAAAGTTTAGAATTTTATTGGATAGTCAATATGGTTTCACTAAGGGAAAATCTTGCCTTACAAATCTTTTGACATTCTTTGAAAGGGTTACTGCCTATATAGATAAAGGTAAGCGTGTAAATTTGGTGTATTTGGATTTTCAGAAAACATTTGACAAGGTACCACATAAATGACTTTTAAAAAAAGATGTGGGGGATAAGTTAGCAATTGGATAAAAGAGTGGCTGGATGGAAGAAAGCAGAGGGTTGTTACAAAT